CATAGCTACATCTGTCACAGTCTCATATGATTTTAATAGACGAACGGACGAAATGTATGAGGACAGTTTTTAAAACTGCTTTGTATTCGAATGAGTCAAATACATCTATGCTATGAAATGACCACTCAGAGATGAAAAAGCATCTTTCTCTTCTCCAAAGAGAGCTGGGGGGCTCTAGAAAGGATGAAACGAACAAGCAAGCATTCATTAAGTGTCTACTACTGTGCCAAGCATTGTGCTAAGCACTTCATAAATATTATCTCACTTGCTCCTCACAATAACCCTCGGACAGTTATAATGCTATGAAGGTGCTATTAAGATCCCCATTTTATAGATGAGGAAACTGAGGCTAAAGAGGTCAAGTGAGTTGCCTAGGGTCCCACAGCTAATAAGTATCTTTCGTCACATTTAATCTGAGTCTTCCAGACTCCAGGCCTAGCACACCAACCACTTTACCTCCCAGCTGCCTCTGTAGGTTTGGAATGTTGCAAACACAATCAGTAACTGTTTTTCTTGGTTAAATGGGAAAGCTCTTTTGGTATGTTTGAGGAGCAAAGCATAAATAACACAAATTTTGAAAATGAAATAGAGCGGAAAAACAATTTAAAAAAAAAAATGACTATCCAAGTAGAATGCCATGTCTGATAAGAATCTGCACAATTCCCTTTTGGTATTAAGACTAGTCACTCACACCCTTTATTTTCTACCTAATTAAGACCCTTATCTGTGTGACTCTTACAAATCTGATCCTTTCAAAAGATCTGGGGAAATCTTGTCTCTGCCTTATCTTGTAGGACCCAGGAATGGCATTTTTCACCTCAAAGTGGTTACAATATTCTTGTGTGGAACAGTCCTAGCTGCTATCCTTATGATGTTTTGTCCTAGCAAGTCCATCGGAGATCAGATAATTTAGACATGGAAGGGACTTGAGGAAACTGAGACACAAGAAAGGCTAAAGAGCTTGTCCAAGGTCACACAGGTTGTAGGAGTAAGTAGCAGAGATGGAATTCAAACCAAGCCCTCTATCTCCAAATCCAATGTTCTTTCCATTACACCATGCTTGGATGTCTGATCAGCCATGGAATGATTCACATCTCATCCTCTGACTTAGTTCTTTGGCTATCTTTTCACTAAGTCTTACTCAAGATTTACATTAAGTCTTACTTAAGAGCTTGATTCTTTGTTTGTATAGATGTACCTCAGTTTGAGAACATCCCACATAAATCTAAACTTCCAAAATAGATGTAATTAATTTCATTACTAAATGATCAAATGATTAAATTTCAGATCTTCTTCAAACAGTAAGGCCCTCCCTAAATCATTTCTGTACGATTTATGTAATTTTTCAGAAACAGATTTCATCAACCAATCAATAATCGACTGTTCCTCCCCCATAAACACTTTTTTTCATTTATAAGGCAGTAATAGCACTGAAATTGGAGTCAGAAATACCTGGGTTCAAGCTGTGTGACCCTTGGAAGTCATTTGACTTTCTAATCACCCAGGTTCAAAACCTCAACTCTTCACACTTTCTATCACCCATATCCAAGCAGTAATCAAGTCCAGTTGATTTTCTCTTCCCATATATAGTATACACTCCCTTATTTCCATTGACGATGCCATCATCCTGATGCAGGCCCGCTTTATCTCAACCCTAGACTACTGCAATACCCTTCTGGTCTGTCTCTCCCATTCCAGTCTATCCTCCACTCAGCTGCCAAATTGATCTTCCCAAAGCAAAGGTCAAGGACAGTGACTCCCTATTACCTCCAGGATCAAATACAAAATCCTCTCTTTAGTTTTTAAAGCCCTTCATAACTTGTCCCCTTCCTACATTTCCAGACTTTTTATACCTTACTCCCCTCCACATGCGCCAGTATGATCCAGTGACACTGGCCTCCTGGCTCCCACACTACACTCCTCCGTCCTTTATGCCTGGAATACTCTACCTCCTTATCTCACCTCTTGGCTTCTCTCAATCTCAGCTAAAATCCAACTTTTTACAAGAAGCCTTTCCTGATCTACCTTAATGCTAGTACTGTTCCATGGAGATTATCCCCAATAATAATCTGTCTTTACCTGTCTATATTGTATATATGTATGAATGTCTCCCCTATTAGATTGAGCTCCTTGGGAGCTGGGACTGGTTTTTGTCTTTCTTTGTATCCCTATCTCTTAGCACAGTGCCTGGCTCATAGTAGGAGTTCATAGGTGTGTGTCAACAAACATAAATACTTGTTGATGCCTTTTTTTAACCTCCCTTCGCCTCAGTTTCCTCATGCATAAAATGAGGGAGGTTGGTTTGAATGGACTCTAAGGTCTCTTCTGGCTCTAAACATATGATTCTATTTATTACTATTCTATTTCTTATATTCAAAACTATTTTTAAAAGTTCAAACTCAGTAAAACAAAGCTTCAGTCAAAACTCCAGAAGTAATATACAGTTTTGGTTGGTTTTTGGCTATCTTAAAAAAAAAAAAAGATAATACCTTCCTAGTCTTAGGCAACCTTAAAACTACTCCCCAAAAAATTTCAGTCAGGGTTTTTTGGTGCAGAAATTGTGATTTTATGGGTGTAGAGAACACCAGTTGGAACTCACTCCACTGAAACATCAGCAACTCAGCACCTCATATGTAATTTGTTGTTGATCCTTCGTTCTCTAAGAGGACCAATGACATCATGAAGGTGATGTCTTGACTTGTACATGAACTGGGGCTTTGAAAATGGCAGAGCTTTGAAAAGTCCTCTGCCTCACTCTCTCCTCCAGAGTCACTGTCTTAACCAAGAGCTTAAAGAGATTTGCCCATGATGCTATAGCTAACGTGTCAAAGACAGGTCTTGAATTCAGGTCTTTGTGACTCCTAAATCAGTTCTAGAGCCTGTTTCTTCAGATGATTTTAGCAAGTACTTCCATAAAATTTAAGTTTCTTTATGTGTTAAACAGATATTTCAAAACATGACCAAGTCAAAAATATGAATCTAATGATTATCAAACTGTACTTTAACAGTTTTGGTTTCTTTACTATTGGGAGAGAGAGCAGAGAAAGTTTCACTCTGGGACCAAAACTTGCTTGTCTTTTGTTCCTATTAATGAGAGATGGAATGGGTTCAAGCAACAAGGGGGCAACTGGGATCAATTCACACTAAATTATATTTCGAAATCTCTATGACTTCTCTCTGACCTGCTTAAACAGATGTCTTTAAATATTTTTATTTCCCCAGAGGACCTATTATAGGAAGTATGAAATTGGGACTGTAATTATCAAATGCACTGATATGCCCACAGATCTGCTTTTAATTTCAAGAACAGACTTTCTCAGTTCAGAGATGTCAATGAAAAAAATCTGCAGGGTTTCAGAAATGGAAACTGACTTAGTGCGAATTTCACACACTGGATATCCGGACCTCTCAGACAACTATGTACTTCAAAGTCCTAGGGGCTCCACCTATTGGCCAAAAATCATGGGTAGGTTCTCCACTCGAACTTTCTACTCTCTACTGCTAGCCAACCACTAGCTCCTCCCCTTTAACAGACTGGCTTCTCTCCAAAAGGGGAAAGGTAGCTTTGTGGAGGCCTGCATGTTCCCCATTTCTTGAGATGAGGGTTTCTGGGGAAATAGGAGAGTACAATAAATCACCATCATTAAATTCAACCCCCTTATTTTAGAGATGAAGAAAGAGGGGCCTAAGGAGGCTTAAGCGACTTGCTAAAGATGACACGGTTAATTTAGTGGCAAAGCCTGGACTGTGAACCTGGGTGATCAAAAGCAGTACTGCTGACGCTCACATAATGAAAAAAAAAAAACTGATTCTCAGGGATGATAACAAAATGAATCTGGTAAACACTGCCCCCAATCGAAAGTTAAGAGGGAAAAAATGGGGTTTCCGGCACTTGAGTAGGAATAAAAACTAAATGGGCTAGAAGCCTGCAGGCCCCAACTACTGATAGTCTTCTAGGGTCCGGAAGATAGATATTTTTTCAGTTCTGCACTTCCTTGCCACAAGCCAAAGAAAGTTGTTGGGAGCCGTAAGAGGGAACCAGGAGCCTTCATTCCATGCTTCGCTGGGACAAGGTCCCTGGCACCTAGGCCTCCAAGTTTCAGATACATCCATACAGCGAAACTGTTAGTAAAGGAGACACTACATTTGGCAAGATGAGTCCAGACTTTTGAGATAGAAGGGAAACAAACAAAAAACTGGCTTTTGAGAAATGGTGCATACAGGAAAGAGGCTGAGAGGCCGTACAAGAGTTGGAAGGTACAGGGGTGGTGCGTGTGGCTGCAAGCTGAGGAGAGAGAGAGAGGAGAAAAAAAAAAAGAGCTGCACCCCGCCTTCTAACCCGTGTTAGGTGTTCCAACACATCTGGCTGGGGTCACTTACATAAGGGAAATTGACGAGGTGGAGGAGGAGGGAAAGAACCAGACCAGACCAGCCCGCCTCCAGAAGTCTTGGTGCCAGGGGCTGGGCTTTCACTGGAAGAACAAATTCCCCTCCCACGAATGAGACAGGCGCACAACTGCTAAAACATCCTTGCGCGGGGGGGAAGGGGGGGGAAGAAAAGAGAGAAACAAGGACAGAAAAGTGCGGGTGAACGAGCGAGGTTGCACGGTTACCTGATAACGCCGCCACCTCCTCCCCTTGCACCAGGCCCACGGGGAGGAAGGCCAGCGGCTGCAGCCAGAGCAGCCGCAGCCACTGACCTAGGGACGGCTGCAGCTGCGGCTTGGAGCGCCGCCGCATCCTGCGCCCGGGCGCAGCGCAGCGCCGCGGGCCGCCTCCCTCTCCTCCACTCAGCCCCAGGCTTGCATTTTGCTCCAATGCCGCAGAGCAACTACCCCGGTCTGGTGCAGCGGAAGTGGAGAGAGAGGGGAAGGGACTGGCTGGGGAGGGGGCTACCGGGTGAGCCCCGCGGAGAGACAGCCGTGCCGGGCCCGCCCCGCCCTGGCCGCGCCCCTTTGCAGCGGCTGCTGTTGCTGCTGCTGCTGTTGCGCCCTTTTTACCTCCCCTTGCGGGTATCTGCACCGCCTCCCGTGACTCCAGGCTCGTTTGGTGCCTCTGGCCCCGCAGGGGCCCCAGGAGAGCCCCCACTGTGTGCCTTGGCCCCAGGCTCTGACTGGACTGGAGGTGATCCCACAGCGAGCAGCGCTGTGCCCGCTGAGGTCCTGGGCTGCAGACTGCATGCATTCCCGGGCTTGTCCTGGCCGAAGCAGAGTCTGGTGGTGGCTCAAAGAGCCTCAGCCTCTTGTAGACTCTACGTGAGAGCCCTCAGTGACTCCACCAACAGCTCCCTCCGAACGTTTAACCTCAATGTTGGAATCTGCTAATGGGGGCTGTGGGCAGCCTGGCACCTTGTGGAAGCCTATTTCCACCCCATAGGATATGCGGCTTTTATGTTTTGTCTTTACTTCTTGTACGTCAATAAAAGCCCCATACCGCTTTGTTGTTGTTGTTGTTGTTGTTGTTTTACCGCTATACCTCAATATAAGATCATATATTTAGAGTTCAGTAGGAAGTTAAAGTTCATCAGTCAATCAACATTAAATAATCAAACTCCATAGGAGCTTAATAGTAATCAATCAAGCACCGGAGCTTAATAAATATTGGTTGATTGATTACTATATGCCAGGCACAGTGCTAAGCGTTGAGGATAAAAAAAAAAGGGGGCAAAATTCAATCCCTACCCTCAAGGAGCTTACGGTCTAATGAGGAAGACAATATTAAAACTTCTATACAAAGCAAAGTATATAGTTAAATAGGAAACAATTTAAAAAGGAAAGACGCTGGATTGTAAGGGTTTGGGGAAGGCTTGGGATTTGAAGCCTGGGAGATCAGTAGAGAGTGTTCTAGGCATGGGGGACAGCCAGAGAGAACGCAAGGAACAAAGATGGGATGCTCCCTGTTTGTGGAACAGCTAGGAGGCCAGTGTTAATAGATCAAAGAGTAAATGGTAGGCAGTAAGGCATAAGAAGACTGGTATAATTCCCTCATTGGGGATTAGAGGTGAACTGACTTGCCCAGAGTCACACACGGGTAGTGAAGTGGTAGTGTCAGGGTTTGAACCTAGGTCCCCGATGGCATATTCTATGCTCATTCTATTGTAACATAACAAGCTAGTTTCAGAGCAGGAGAGTTTTCTTATGCAATTGCTATTCTCCTGTGTTTATAACATCTTGGGGTGGGTACCTTTTTAGTCTAGCCATATTTACTTACATAATTTTTAGAATTAGGATATCACAATGGAGAATGGCAAAAAGAAACAGGTGATATATTGAAAAACAAAGTCATTTTCATGGAGGTGTGCCTAGAATGGCAGTGGAGTGGGAGGCAGAAAGGCAGTGTACCAAAAAATAAGGAAAGGATATTTAAAGTGCTTGATAGCATGCCGTTCACATAGAGGATGCTTGCTTAGTAAATATTTGTCAAAGATTATGAATAGAGTGGAATGAATAGAATCAGCCCACTACTCCATAGGCTGTTAATTAAAAAAAAAAAATATTCATTTCAGAGAGTGTTTAAGTGTATCATCTTGGATGAGGCTAAATGCCAAAAGTTTAAAAACTAAGTTTTTAGCAGTGAACCCTAAGTTTCTATGACACGGATAAACTTTTAGAGGTAGTTATGTGGTATGGAGTTTTTTTCTCCTTTTCAGAATAGATTTATTCAACAAGCATTTACTGAGTATTTATAGTATTTAAGCGTCGTAGGTAATACAAAGATAAGTAAGGCCTGGTCCCCCTCCTCAAAGCACTTAAATCTAGTACAGTGCTTCTCAACTGTAAATCTTCAGCGTATTTTTTAGTTGTTTTTCAGTCCTGTTCCCATTTGGAGTTTTCTTGGCAAACATACTGGAATGGTTTGCCATTTCCTTCTCCAGCTCATTTGACAGATGAGGAAACTGAGGCAAACAGGGTTTAGTGACTTGCCCAGGGTCACACAGCTAGTGTCTGAGGCCAAGAGTTGAATTCAGGGCTTCCGGACTCCAGACCCAGCACTCCATCCACTGAGCCACCTAACTGCCAGGCATATTATATACTGGTCAGCAAAACTTCCAGTGTCAAAGATCCTTATTTTTAAAAACCCAATTACTTAAAAAAATAATTTTTCCCCCTCGGTTGCTTATTTGTTGATAACATATAACTTTCCCCAGCTTCCTTATACATCATCCTTCTTCCTGTAAGCCACAGTCCTGCCCAACTGCCCTTCTCTCTCTTCCTCACACATAGGCCTCCATTTCCTGTCTTTCTGCTTTTGTACTAGCTGCTTCTCAAATCAGGAATGCCCTTCTTTCTTACTCCTGCCTCACAGAATCCCTCCTCACTTCAACACTTAACTCAAGCATCACTGCAACAGAACTTTTGCTGATTCACTAACAGAAATACTTTCCACCATCCTGCCTCCCCCAGCTAGTGCCCTGCCTAACTACCTTGTGTTTATATTGCATTTATTTTGTATTTATATACACAAATATGTTGTCTCCCCTAATAGAATATAAACTACTTGAAGTCAGAATCTTCCAGGATTTTTGTCTTTGTATTCCCCAGTGCTTGGTACGTAGCAGGTGCATAATAACTGTAGTTGATGGATTAATTGTGCCACTCATCCCTGAACCCTCTTTCCCCCAAGTTCCTAGCCAAGAACAATGAAGTCTGCTATAGACAATATGTTCAACAAGCATTTTTTAAGCATTTACCATGTTCTATGAGTTCAAAGACAAAATTGGTAGGTAGATGATGAATTGGGTAAGTGCTGGTCTGACTTCAAAAGGATCTGAATTCAAATGCAGTCTCAGATACTAGATAGCTAGTTAGCTGTGTGAAACTTAGCTTAAATCGTAAGCCCCTTGAGGGCAAGGACTGCCTTTTGCCTCTTTTTGTAACCTCTGTATTTAGCACAGTTCTTGGAATATGGTAGGTGCTCACAAAATATTGACTGATTGATACTGGGCAATAACTTCACATGTTTGCTTCAGTTTCCTCAACTGCAAAATGGAGATAATAATAGCACCTACTTCCCAGGATTATTGTGAAGATCAAATATGTTTATAGGGGCAACTAGTTGGTACAGTGGATAGAGTGCTGGGCCTGGAGTCCAGAAGACTCTTACTGAGTTCAAATTTGGCCTCAGGCACTTATTAGCTGTGTGACTCTAGGCAAGTCACTTAACTCTGTCTCAGTTTCCTCATCTGTCAAATGAGCTGGAGAAGGAAGTGGCAAACCACTCCAGTATGTTTGCCAAAAAAACCTCAAATGGGGTCATCAAGTCAGACATGACTGAAAAATGACTGAACAAAAAAAGCTCTTAGCACGATGCCTGGCACATAGTAACTATATAAATGATTATTAAATCATTTTAATTTTAATTTTAATTTAATGATTATTAATTTAATTTAATTACTATTTTAATAATTTAATTTAATTATTTAATTTAATGATTATTAAATGAAATAGTCCCTCAAGGAGTTCACAGAATCTAGACATTTTACTCATCCAAAGTATGGTTTTGATTGGGAAAAACTGCTCTAATAGATAATTTTTTTTCATAATATTCAAAGTAATCCCCAACCTTGAATGACCCTTACCAGCCTTTTGTCTAGCCTTGCCTAAATATCACTCCCTTCCACATGCTCTAAGTGCAGCCTGAGCTACACAAATCTCCTTCTGGCATACACGCTGTGCTCTCATGCTTTTGATTTTGTTGGGTTGTTTGTTTACTACCTTCTCTTTGATTGTTGAATTCCTTCCAACCTTGTAAAGGCCAATTAAAATGTTGCATCTTCCAGGAAGCCTTCCCTAATCTCCACTCCCAGTTGGTAATGACCTTTTCCTTAAAGCCCACATAGCATTTTGCTTGGTGACTCTCTAATGGGGTTATTATGTAATGTGTATTCTTTATGTTGGTATTTTAACCTACTACACTCTAAGTGTAGGGACTGGGTACTAACTAAACTTTGAATCTCTCATAGGGCATAGCACAACACTCTGCAGGTAACCAGTGCCTGATAAATATTTGTTGTCATATTTATAATCTTGTGAAAAAGGCTTGATGCTATCAATGAATAGAAAGAAAGAAATTGATCCTTTAACTTAATAGTCTCAAATTATATGTCTGTATTGTATATTAACCAGGTCTCCCCTTTATTTATTAATGTTTGGGCCCCCCCAGCATCTACTCCAGGTTTGAGGTACTTTGGAGTGTGGAGGAAATGGGTAAGCCTATGTCGTGATTTTGGGAAAAACATTTCCACGGAAAAAGTAGCCTTAGAGGTCAAATAAAGAGCTACAAACTTGCGTAAAAAGACCCTCAGTCTATATTTTTTCACTAACAGCATAGAGCCACTGATTCTAACTTGAAGGTGGCCTCCCTATCTTGGAGACCTCCAGTCTCACCTTGATATTCTACTGAAATTAGTTAAAGATTTCCCCTCCTACCATGATGGTATGTTGGTTTTAACTAAAGAGAATCATCCCTACTAAAATAAACTTGATCTTTGTTGACTGCTAGGACACCAAGGTTAACAATTTACAATCCCTCAAATCACCTATCCTGTTAATCTAATGCTAATTAAACTTTTTATCTCATAGCCTTGCTTCTTGATTTATTGACCTCCAGTCACATGGACCAAGGTGGAAGAAATTACTTTCCAGGAGGATCTTAGGATGTCTAAGTTGAGGAATTCCCCAATAATGGGTTAGCATCCAGTCAAATGAAGTGCTATTGACCCCTGTTCACTCTGACTGGGCTTCTTCACTGAGCTGTTACTGCTATTGCTGACTGCTAATGCTAGCTGATTTTTAGCTGTGGTGCTAATAGTTAGGAGTTTCCCAGTTTGATAGCCTCAATGGCTGCTCTTTTGCCAAACCAATCCTAGTCAGCTGCACCCATCCAGCCAGATAGCTAGAGAAGTCCTTAGGCATTTTAAAGCCCCATTTCTCCTGCTTCTTCTCAGGACCTCTCAATCCAAAATCTTATCTGAGTTATGGTGCAAAATTTCCTGTAACTCTCAGCATATCCCTGGATTACTTCCCTAAAACCCCTTTAGATCAAATCCAGGGATTCCACTTAACAAAACGAAATGGAGCTAGGGTAAGGCATTTCCTTTCAACACTGACCCCCCTCCCACCAGAGGGCTATCACCAGTCATCCTGACCTATGCCTTGCCACTGGACTCTGATGACTCTGGAAGAGAGAGTGAGGCTTATGACTTTGCACAACTCTGCCTCACTGAAATCCAATTCACTTGCAAGTCAAGACATCACCCTCCTGACGCCATTGGTCCTCTTCCAGAACAAAGGACCAACAATGACATAGTCAGTGTTCCCTATAATATTTGTTTTCTTTCTATCACTAATCTCTGTACATTACTAGTCTGTCGATCCTAGT